AAAACCAATATATCGACCGTTAATGATATTGGTTGATCGTTAGGAGTTATTGATGATCGTTTCAGCCCTAATTATACTAGTGAAGCGACTTGTGTAGGCAAATATATGCCGTTTATAATGAGCGCGAAATTGTGTCCGAAATTCTGAAACAGAATCTAAAGCGGTAATCTTGGTTGGAAGGCAATTCCATAATTTGCCGATTTTATGTAAGAAAATGGAAGATGAAGTATCACAGTTCTAGTATGTAAGCTACACAATTGTGTACAATGCACCTGATCAGTGCTAGTGGTCTGCATGGTAAAGGGTTCGGAGGTCATGCAGATAGTGTTTTCACTGAAAAGCAGGGTAGAAATCATGGAAATACATTTTGTGTGCTCGAATTCGTCTTCTGAAAGTACTTTCTCACCCTGATACAGTACATGTAGCTGAAGATGCCAGTGAATCAGCCTTTATCAGGTATCCTGGGGCGGATGAGATAGTGATGGGTAGTCCGCAAAACTCCGCGTACATGTACACTACGCTTGTCACGAAGTCATGATGTCTGGATCTTAGCAGCTATGACTGTGCACGCTATGGGTATTGCTCTAATTGAGGTATAGTGGATGTTCGGTAATGATGGAAAGAGAGCTGGAGCTACGGGAGAGATGAGCTGATTATGAGAATTCGCAGGGTTAGGGTGACATCGGTCGGACGAGTATGACGATTACGAAGACAGTTGAACATGACAGTTTTCAAAGGTGAGGAAAAAATCTTTCAAAGCAAAAGAAGTTAACTAATGAATAGAAGAAGACACGTTAGTATTGTTTTCTCTTTTCCAGGTTGATCTCTAGTATGCATGGACACCTTGGTATGGGGATACTCATGTATTGTGTTGTACTTATGGCCACTTGCAAGTACGAAAAAGGCACAATTTTCCGAACTTTGAGGCTCCATAAGCACAACAAAGTGAATATGTATCCCCGCGTGCCAAAGCATAATATGAGGATTTTGCGAGCATAATGCGAGAATCCATGAAAGCATAATTCCATGATTTCGCGGGCATAATCCGCCGGTGCCTAGTCAAGTGTCAAGTCAAGTCGGCGGAATAGCGCGAGCTACAGTGTGGGGAGCAAACCCTTTCTTACAAATCGCCGAAGTCGCTACCACTATTTCGTATTCTTCTTCTTATTTAATAAACTGTTCTTCTTCTTCTTATTATTATCTTTATTAGGACTGCCCTATTCAAAATTTAATAATAATAATAATAATGTATTTAAATAACCGACGAGGAGACAACAGTCGTAAAATAGCAATGAAAAATATCAATTGTGCACTCATAACCATGTATAAACAATTAAAATGAAACAATTCCAGACGTTTTCGTGTGACCATCATAAGTGGAACATCGTCACATAGTAAGAATCACTAAAACAACCAGTTATATAGCAGTTTTTGTTCACACGCACTCACAGCTGCCACATTCATCTACTGCTACCATTCTCAGATACACTGCAAAGGTTCACACTACACGCGTTATGCATAACCGCTAGCTGTGCTGCATTCTCACGCTTCTTTTCATATTACTCTAGCTATATAACTGGTTGTTTTAGTGATTCTTACTATGTAACGATGTTCCACTGATGATGGTCACACGAAAACGTTCTGGAATTGTTTCATTTTAATTGTTTATACATGGTTATGAGTGCACAATTGATATTTTTCATTGCAATAATAATGTAGAAAAGAAAAGGACATATGGATACGAGTTAAGAGTAACTCTCCATCACTGTAATTGGATACTATATACAGTCAAAAAGTGCAATAACTATATAGGCACAAAACTGACAGAGTACTGAGGCATTCGACGTCCTGACACCTAGCTTCAACACGTCTCCGTAGCGTCTCGAATGTCTCAGTACTCTGTCAGTTTTGTGCCTAGTTATTGCACTTTCTGACTGTATATAGTATCCAATTACAGTGATGGAGAGTTCCTCTTAACTCGTATCCATATGTCCTTTTCTTTTCTACATTTATTTATGGCTCAACATCCGAGTTTCAAATAATAATAATAATAATGATAATGATAACCGCGATCAGTAATACCAGCTGGATCGACATTTGTGTACACTTTATTCATGTAATGTAAAACTGTGGAGACAATGTGCAATAAAACTGTTAAAATTCACACTTGTAAATTTCACTGCTGTTGTTCTTAGTGTTATTTCTCTAACTTAGATTTTCTATAATAGTTCAATTTTGTTTCAGTCATTGTCCTTTAGTACAACGAAGATTCCTGATGAGTGTTGTACGAAAACTTGTTTGAATCCTCATTTTCTCTACACCATTTCTTCACATTTTCATCGTTTTATTGCACATTGTCTCCACAGTTTTACATTACATGAATAAAGTGTACACAAATGTCGATCCAGCTTGTATTACTGATTGCGGTTATCAAATTGTTGTCTCCTCGCCGTTTGTTCAAATAATAATAATAATAATAATTTATTAACTGGTTTTGAGGGAAAGAGACAATAATTATAATAATAATAATTTGAGGGATGGCCCAGAGGCGTATAGCCTATCCAGGGGTTCTCCACTTGTGCGATATTGAATGGGTAGCATGCTAACCAGCTCCAGTTCCTCAGCGGTACTCACATCGTTAACTGGTTGACTGATTTGCAGTACAGTCATGTAGTTCAAACACGGGGACTGGTCTGTAGATGTCCATTGCTTGTGTGGTCCATGCAATAAGGCTCTGACCGCTAAAAGTCGACTGCAACTGTCAAGGACACATGCCAGGACCTGATATCAGATTTTGGTCGTTCGAAGTGAAGCGACTCGTTACGCCCGCGGGAGAATGTGTGGTGTGAATTCATGGCGACACAGCCTGCCCTGAAGTGACTACCAATGTTTATTTCTGGGCTGATAACAGATATTGATGTGGCTACTCCAATGCAGATGATGGTAGCGGATCTAATCAGGTTTGGTGACCCGTTTTGTCAGCTGGCCCTCGTCCGTAGGAGGCCACAGACCGTCTGGTACAGTAATATGGTGTTTTCGCAGAAGCTCTTGATGACTCTGTAATCAGTGAGAGGCCAGTGGATATTCATACTTGCAAATACTACCGGTACACTAATAGCAGACAAACATGTACTGGAATATATGTATGGTGTCATACTGCACATGTCTGTGGGAGAGTTGGATCACGCACTACACTGGGTAAAGTTATAATATGTACATGCTTTTAAAAGCGGTGGAGAATCTGAAGACCAACATTACAGTCATTGATATGTTCCAATATTCACTTGTGCATTCCCACATTCGTTTTATCTACCGGAATACATGAACATTCTAGCACAGAATTGCAATATAGAGAAATACGCACGTGGAAGGTAAGTAATCACTCGGAATCAGTTTCAGCTCAGAGCGTCATGCCTATAATCAGTATAGCACTCAGCAGATCGCTGATGATGAGAAACTGAAAGAATGTCGCCTGGCAAAAAGCTACATTTGGATAAAATGTCATACCTAGGTATATGTACATGTATGTCATTGTTAGCATACGCGGATAGTGCCGGCAGAAAAATTGGCAGAATTCGGTACTTTTTCTGGTAAGTTTCATACATGGTTGGTATGTGGATAAAGAAATGGAGCAGAATTCGAGGAATCGCACGCTATAAGGTTTGTGTGGTTCTGCCGATGTCACTGCTTTTCGAGCAGAATCTGCCGCCTTTTCGAGCATTATCCGCCAATGCCTAGTCATTGTCCCGATCTCAGGTGTGTAAAGCTTGGCAGGTATACTGTCCTATAGCTGCTGCTATTGGTGTTGACTAGCACCTACACAGGGAATTGAGCGAGTTAGCGCTCTCAGTTGCAAAGGATTCTGAGTGATCCCCTTTCTTGCACGTTTGAAATGCTCTGCGCGTAGGGTATCGATGACTATAAAAGATCTGCAGTTGTTGTTACTTCTGTGTAAACCGAAATACATGATCTTTGAAGTAGAGTCTGCGTAGAGGAAGAAGGGCAAATATAGATGATTGTATTGCTGTAACTCTGAGGTTCAGCCAGGAACGATCAGCTGATTGCACTACATGTATAAATAATCATTTAAAACCTACATGTGCGTGTGCGTATGCTTGATACTTTGCATAACATTTACCTGATCGTTTACATGACATCCCCGTCACTCAGGTCTAAGAGCACAATACACTGTACATTGTCATTGGGAATTTACCACGTGACTGGAAAAGGGAATGGAGTACAGAACTGGGATTTATTCTGAGAGCCGATCGTGGGACCAAAGGCAAAATGTATCGTCACGATTTGCCTGTCTGTGAAGGAGGTACTGCTACTTTTTCTATTATTTTCTTCCGGAGAGTCACGTGGTTGCAAAACCCAAATGGCACAGTTATATCTTTTTCTTGACTGCCATGGAGACGAGTAGCTCTCTTGCTGCGCCAAGTTGTGCATTTTCGTAATCACGCCATCATGAAAAGTCTATTTCCATCTTTCTCCACAGGACAATGGTCATAACTACCCGAGTGAAATAATGCAGGCCAGATTTTTCCACATCTCCCAGGGCGCAGAAAGCAAATGTTGCCACTTTGATTGCCGCCATTTGCCTGAACAAGCCACGGACACAGAGACATATCCTGTCAGCTAGGAGAATAGCGAATGACAGCATCGTATACTTGAGCAATCCCGAAGTCTGATCTTTCGCACTCTGCACTCAGTCGCGTGCACCCCTGGACTGGAGCAGTGGACCGTCGGTGCTGAGAGCCGCCTGTCTTCAAACTGAAGTGCTCTCCGTGGCCTGTCCAGTTCCGACTGGGAGAGATGGGCAGTCCCATGCTCCGCTAACAGCGATGAGAGAGCCCCGAGACAAGTGCAGAACCACAAACGATGGCATGTTGTCAGTTGCGGTCCACGCCGAGAGGTTGCTGGCCATTGCTACCTTCAATCCTTTGGGCAGGCCTACAATCTTCATTCAGTCGCTCTGATTATTTACCAACCGTGAGTCTGAGAATAATGTAATCGTGAATTCCAACGACAGGGACTGCTAACCTTTCCAGGTTCGACAGAAAGCAGCTCGTTGTTTTGTTGTGGCGGAGTAGAATACCGTACCAAGAAGTTCTGCTGGGTCTTCTCTCCAAGAATTCGTACTGCCCTGCGAGTCTATGTGATAAGGTTTGCTATGCTCGTGTTGCAGTCTTGCTGTTGAAAAGTTTACTGGGTGTGACTCTGCATTCGAGGGTCGTAGCTCTGCTCTCCACCCTCTGTGGGCAAGCAACGCTGTGGACATGGCGAGGACGACGCCTGCACACGCGGCGCGTTGGCCCCTGGTCATCCTGATCTTCACTCACGCTGTGTCCGGGCAATTCCTGAACGTCGTTAGCAATGTGTCGCAGAACATCCAAGTGGCCACCGAACAAACCTGGGAAGGAGCTACCCTGTCGTTTTGCATCGACACGACAGGCAGTATGTACGATGACTTGCTTCAGGTCAGGAATGGCGTCAGGAACATCTTCAGAGCCATCTCGGAGCAGCAGGAGATCCCCATCGTCAACTACGCGTTGGTGACCTTCCACGACCCAGGTAGGAATCTGTGAACATCCAGTCACTGTATGGGAATGAATGACACTGTGTGAAAAGAAATTTGTAAGGGCTGGTCAGTAATATTTGGACACACTCTTGCAGGCTGTTAGCACCTTACGGAATACATTGTCACTGGCATCATGGTGGCGGTGACTGTGATTCGCCGTCAAATAGACATGGTGGATTTTACATGTAAAATTGTAGTGGTATGTATAGCGATCGGACAGGACATGTATATGTACATGTAGATCAAAACATCCCCTTATTTGGAAATATTAGCTGGTTCATTTGCTTGCTACCCACAATACTTGTACATGTACATGTAGATCTACTGTTGGGTTGGGTAGTAGGGACAGTCCTGTATTCACAGAGTGCTCAATCCTCAACACTTACAGGGCAGAGTTGGTGCTGCATATCATTGTAATTATATTGTCTTCAGACAAAGACTTACAAGCTAGAGACTAGAGTGTAGCTGCAGTGAAGATCATGCCCAGTGCAGTACATGTACCTGTACCTGTTGTTAGTTTGACAGCATGAAACAAGGTGGAGGACACTGTGTTTACCTAATACACTGTACTTGTATTGAACTAGTATTGGGTTATAACATATGTATGTACTGAAGTACCTGTATGGATCCTGGAAGATTTCGCGCAACACAGTCATGGATCTCTGATAGTGTGATGTCTTGAGGCGAAACAACCCCCAGGGCTTCATACCAAGAGTCCTGTCAGCATCTGTCAGCACACAGGTCCTCTACCACAATGACTTTATTACCAGTACTGTTAGGGCAGATAGATACGCTTAGCCCTTGGTGGATCATTCTGGCATAGTTTCTGGCATAATCGTCGGATTTTGTCTAAAACGTATGCCCTGGCATAAAGGTCGTCTGAGACCACACGGTCAGCATAACCTTACGATGCTGGCAGAAGATGAATGCTCCAGGCATATTTTGCCGTGTTTAATACAGGAAATAACCTGGTGAATGTTACCCCTTATAAACCGTGCTGTCATGGTACCAGAGTCGTTGTAACGTTGCGGAGTGCAACAAGGGTGCAAGGCACTTGGTGGATAATGCTTGAAGAATCGGCAGATTCTGCTCGAAAAGCAGTGCAATTGGCAGAACCATACAAACCTTATGACAGGCACTTCCTTGACCTCTGCTCCATTTCTTTATCCACATACCGAACAGTTACATGCATGAAGCATACCAGAGAAAGTACCAACTCTGCCAAGGCAAGGGCTCACCTGCCAATGAGGGCCGAAAGCGCCATGCATCAGGACATAAAACTTATAAAAGACACCGGTACGAGGTATTCTTCACGAGCCGTGGAAAAGGTCAAAGTTCAAACGCAGATGCATGGCCTCATAGTAACACTTAGTTCAAACCCCAATGCATGATAATTATGACCTATCCTCAGGCTCAGACACTCCTCTCGAGGTCTCACACAGGCTCAGGCGTCAGCATGGTCACCTACATACTCACGTACATAGAAGTAAATACGTCATTGCTGATCAGGGAGTTGCCATAATAGTAATACTATGATCTGTCCCCGGGGAAAATTGCGATTCCGCGGCCGCGTTTTTTCCGCGTTTTTGCGATTTCTTAAAAGACCGCGTTTTCCGCGATTTTCCCGCGTTTTTTGAACTTTTTTGTTGCACTACACGTACACACAGTGCACTTTTCAGTCAGCAAATTAACGTCTCATCGTGGCGGCTTTTTACTCAAATATGACGAGTGCTTACACCAGAGACTTGTAACTGATTGATTTCACTACATACTCACTGAAAATTGCCGCACATCAATATTATTCACCGCATATTTACCGCATATTTACCGCAAGTTCACCGCAAATTATGCCATATTATGCCGCATTTTTCCCCGCGTTTTTTGCGATTTTTTCCGCAATTTTCCCCGGGGACAGCATGATATACCGGAAGTCGACCTAGTACTGCGCCGCATGCAGTGCCAGTTCTGGTTTCCTGCTACTAGTACTACCGTATGATCATAGCCTGCACTGCAGATTGCAGTGCTGCACTGGCTGCAGCTATCAAGTATCATGGTTCTCACCAGGGAGTCGTATAGACTCTATACGACTCCCTGGTTCTCACCTACGTAGAAGCGAACTGGCTACCTTCACTTTTCTTCAGTAGTTCGTACATCGAGACCTACATGACTGTAGTCTCGCTTCAATCAGAATTTTTTCTTTGCTGGCATCTTTCATCAAAGTAAGATTGCTCTGGAAATTTGAAGAGCCCGTATTCAGGCGTGAAACACTTGGCCAGGAGTAGATCAAGAAGTAAACTTCCAACTTTACTTAGCAACGTACCCGGTCCTTAGAAGGAAATGCTCGATAGCTTCTACCGGGAGAAACAGAGGTCAGAAACTACTTCGAAGTAGAAATGAGCACATTGTGGTATTTTTGATGATAGCCTCTGCGATACTTAGCCAGTCTGCTTTGCACCTTTGCAACTGGATGCACAGCACCGGCATTTGGCTTTATTCTAGTCAGAGTCCATTACCCCGAGCGAGCACTGGGCGAAACAAGGTACTGGTATATTGATGCATGGCGCGGTGTTGTATGTAAGCCAAACGTGTTTGGCGCATTGTGGAGGAAAATGCCACTCGGAGTCGGGATGAGGTCGCTACTCCGAGTCACGTTCATGTTGTCGGCACGTGCGGAAGCTCTTAGTCTAGGCCGTCCAGCACATTTCCAGCAGTTGTGGTTACTTCAAGTATTGAAAATGTTATGGCTGTTGATAAGTGATCTGGCAATTAGTGTGACTAGTACCTGTCACTGCCACAGCCCTGTGCGGGATATCCTGGATTTGGAGAGGGCTGATGGCTGTGAATACCAAATATGGCTTCTTTCCCTTGCCGAAGCAACCACAATTGGTAGAGAAACGCTCTGTATGCATGATGTGTATTCCAACCATTCTGTTAATTGACAAATTACTTGTCTAAGTAGACCTTTGCACCACTTCCAATTACATGTAGGGCGATCGTTGTGACCTAGGATTGGAGAACGGGTTACGTGATATCACACGATGTCACATGAGTGTATGTTGGATCAGAGATGGTGTGAATGTGCTTTGTTGTTGTTGCTGCCCTGCGGTGCACAGAGGTTAACCTCGCTACGCTCACTGCCGATCAGGCGACGTTTGAGAATGCGGTGGAGGCATCGCTGGAAGTGCACGGCGGAGGGGATTGTCCCGAGATGGCAGTCGGCGGTATCAACCTGGCGCTGCGACGCTCCCTCCCGCGATCCTTCATATTTGTGTTCACTGATGCCTCGGCCAAGGACTACCAACTGAAAACCCAAGCACTGAGCTTGATTCAGGAAACCCAGAGTCAGGTAAGCGAGTAAACGACCCAATCCACGTACGCATCACCACCATACCGAGGAGGGTTTCGTTTAAATTGCCAGACCGTCCAAAAACCTGATTCGTTCTAACACAGCTCATCAGTGGAAATAGAGGATCATGGTTGATATTTATTGTAGGGTCCCTCAACTCAAACACAAAACGGTCTCTTTGCTGCATACGTCATTAACTGTTCACTAGGAGGTACCCTAATGTGTAAATGGCTGCAATGGAGTCTGCGAGTGCTTAGAATATTTTTCAGTGGCGGATCCAGGGGGGGGGGGGGGGTTCCGGGGGTTCCATGGAACCCCCTAAATTTTGCAAAGTGTGCGGCTGAGAAAATTTCGAAAATATCATGTGTGCACAAAAGGGCGTCCGTCCGATCACAGTCAGTGCAGTCACTGAGTCAATGACTACAGTGCACTCGCGTGCGGTGGATCGATACTGTACGGATAGTAGTCTGTACTGGTGTTCACGTCCGTGATTTACAAACGGACACTGTAGACAACATTGGGTGGTTGTTTCCTTTTTGATCTTTCGAAACGATCCAAACTTACCTCCATTGGCGCTGTCATTCACTGCTGCTCAGGATGGGTGTGGTGTGGTCAGTATTCCTTGGACAAGTTTTTTGCAGAAGAGAAGGGATGTTCCGAGTACTGACACTCTTCAACTAACTTCGAACCGTACACGTAGAGTTCAAGCTCCTCAGAAGATGAGGGCTCCGACATCCAAGCAAAGTCAGTAATCTCTACTTGCTGCAGCATGCAGTAGTGACTAGTTGTTCCTCCGCAGGAACGGAGTGCTGCGCCAGCGATGTGTTTTAGATGACATTGGAAGGATTGTTAAATTGTCGACACTGTTTCGCTGTTGTTGTTTCTGTCACTAAAGTGAAGACAATGCTCTTGTCCTGTAACTATAGAGCAGTTCGCATCGTAAAAATGCCAAAAATTTCCGAAAGTACAAATGGACAGGGAAAGTAACTTATACATGTACATTGTATTTGTAGTTGTCATTTCGGCATTCCTGGCTCTCAACGTACCCATGGCTTGCATATTCGATCTTTACAAGAAGTAACAGTTGAAAGGGTCTTCAAGCCCTCACTGAACCTGTGTTTTTTTTTTTTTTTTTTTTTTTTTTTTTTTTTTTTTACAAGGATCACAGCTCACAGGCAAAGACAAAAAATTGCATAGTGGGAGCATCGTGATGGCGAGGCTTTTTGCCCTCAGCCGACCTGAGGTCTCGACGTCATGGGGACATAAAACGCACCAAAAAAAGAAGAAAAATGAAAGGAGTGACAGGTACATGATACGAAATGTTAGGAGGAGAGATAGTACATAAGAAGGAGGGGAATGATAAGACAGACAGTGCTAGGAGGAGAAGGAGAGAAAAGAAGAACAGACGTTATTGGGAATAGTATGTGGAGCGGAATTTGGAAGTCATGGGGTGAGGCAGATATGATGCTGATGATCAGAGATGGTCATGTGCCCACGACCAGTCGTTGGTCTTCAAATAGCGGTTGGCTGCAACTTTGAAGTGTTGCAAGTTCTTGGTGCAGAAAGGACCAGAGAAGTGTGCCAGTCGATTGCATACATGTATAGTATGATTGAGATTCGGCCTCATTTCCTTTGTGCTGCGCTGACGAGTCAACAAAGGACGAAACAGTTCTGTCCGCAGATTGAGTGTATATTATGATTATGTGTCGGTGCTAAAATGTAGGGTTAGCAGCAGCATTTGGTCCTGTACAGGTTTTCCATCGTCCACCACACCACAACTGCGCTCCGACTCAGTCTCCAGCGATGGTGGTGTGCTGTGGCAACGACTTTGGTTACGTGTCGAGGCCGGCTGGAGAGCGCAGTTGTGGTGTGGTCGATGATGGAAAACTATAATAATATTATGTCCGTAGTGTGTTTTAAAAGCATGCGATTCCCACTAACACAATCGGATTGTCGTTATTACAAGTGTCAACCGCACATCTGATTCCATAATATTTTGGCTGTTCAATTTTGGTTCAACCTGAACCCCCCTGTAGAGATCTCTGGATCCGCCCCTGTTTTTTATTGTATTGTATCTATTTTTTGAGTTCCTTGCCTCAACATTTTGAAGTACAACTGTCAGGAGGGACGGACAAAAAAGGTTCACTTTGCCGGGTTGAAAAGAATGCGGCGAAGGGATGACTTCCTAAAGGCCAAACCTAGTGTCGTTGGGCACTTTCTACCTGAAGAGAACCATGGAAAGCCCGAGAAGACTGAGGTGTGAGATGATAACAGTTCTCACAGAGGTGATAGCATAGGCTACATTTCTAGAACATGGTACTCAGCGTTTGATATGATGTAAAAATCAGTGACCTGACAGTATTATGTTAGACATACTATTTTTAACAGTAGCCCGGCCCATTATACATTGCAGATTCGAAAAGTTATATTGAGAGATGTTTGATTGTACTCATCCCAATACTGTGATAAAGTTACTTCAGTAGGCAGAACTGGCGTGATTCCTAGTTGCCATTCAATCGAGCCTGTTCTGTCGGTGGGACCACTAAAATTACTAACCTCTTAATTTTCTTTTTCGAATCTATGTACACGTGAACAATACGTACACATGACAAAATAAGAAACAACACCTTTTTCTCATCCATTTTATGTGTATGGGTCACGCATTCATCGTTGTTGTTATACCTCTTCTTTCTTGCGCTGTTTCTATCACCTCTCTACTGTTCATACTTAATTCGTTGTCCTTGTTCATTTGCTTTTGCCTGTATTTCACCTGATGATGAGACTTGGTTGAAGCAGAAGAGTTTGTAGAGGAGTCTGTACGAAGAGAACTGAGATGTTGCGACTCCGGCACGGTGGTACTTGTAGAAGAAGGTGGCTACTCCAAACGTTGGAGCTTGCCAGTTTGAACGAAGAGAAGGGAAATGTTTTGAACCAGATGAGAACCATGCATGCGTGTATGGCATTGAATTCCTGTATGGCACACATAAATCACAGATAGGACATTCTAGGCTAGTGCACTATTGACACTGGTCATCAACATGACTTTGTTTGCTGTTCTTCCAGGTCATATTCGTATTGACGGGTGACTGTAATGATCAAAGCGGAGAAGGATTCCGAGCCTTCAAAGACATCGCTGCTGCATCAGCTGGCCAGATTTTCTTTCTCCGGCAAAAGAATGAGGTAATGAGTCACTCCAATCCTTCACACATGTCTTGTTCATCTTCATAGTAGCTGTACAAACAAGGCCGGTCTAGGCAGCTTGAGGTAGCCTCTGTTGTGTGTGTTATTAACTGTACATTCATGTGGAGTCATTGGAGTGATAATTGTATGCAAGTTGGTAGTTTGACTACGCTTTGCCCCAAGCCTATCTGTAAACAACCGCTTCAAAACACTTTCCATGTACTCCCCCAGGTGAAACCTGAAGGTTAGAAAGTTGGAGGTGCATGTACCATAAATACTTTGAAGCTTCCCAGACCATGGGGATAGGGCTGGTCCTGGTGCGGGCAATGGCCATGGTGTGGGTAAAGTTGTATATTTCCCAACTACGAAATGCACAGACATCATATGCCTCATTTCTTGTTGGATGAGAGCAACGAAGTAAACAAGATATGCTGTTCTTTTCGAAACACGAGTGCACAGTCCAGAGTTCACGGACTGTGCGGGGAGTGCGGTACGCACTGGCTGCGCAGTTTGAAGTTGCAGTATGCACATGAAGGTGTATGCTGGTCTGAAGACAGTGTTCTTTTTGTTCTTGCACTGCTGCTGTACAGTTGCAAATTTTCGCTGCGTGGCCGAGTGTTTTTCTCTTCGTTTCCTTAGCGTAATCTGTCTGAAGTGATCATGCCTGGACGTGGACGATCCTCCACCCCAAGAGGTCGGAGCAGGTCCTCCAGGGGAGGTAGTTTGCCTGCCTCGGCAAGCAGACCTGAAACAAGCAGCTCCGACAGTAGAGCCGAACCGAACGCCCAGCTGCAGGAGCAGCAGTTGAGGATCGGCGCCCTAGAATCGGCGCTGGCCAAGGAACGGTCAAGCCGTCGTCATCGTCGTCGGTCCCCATCGTCGTCGTCATTTTCCTCATCATCATCCTCATCTTCCCCCTGTTCGTCTCCGTCGTCATCCCCGTCTTCATCGTCATCTCCCGAGTCTCGCCGTCGTCGCAAAAAAACAAAAAAGGCCAAAAAGTCAAGAAGTCGTTCCGTGTTTCCCCGGTCAACCTCGTCGAGGCGGTGGAAAAAACCCTCGTACGAAAGACAGTACGAGACGAACGCTTGGAGCAGCTGTTGCTGCGACCCTGCAGTTCTATTGTTGTTTTTGTAAAGAACCTTAATTAATTAAAGGGGAAGTTAAGTCTAAAAATCAAATTTTCACCAGTTCTAGCCTTCGGGGTGCTGAGTCGAATGGTCTTGGTCCGAGGATGCTGAGATGCTCCCTTCCTCCTATAATCCCAATCAAACTCGCGAACTTCCACCAAAACTGGGTGACTGCGCCCTTCTGGATGGGGATTTCTATGCAAAATGTCACTGAAAGCGCCATTTCGTTCTTATAAAAGCACGGATGACAGCGATTGGCCCATATTTGGTAGTCTTTTGGACGCTGAGTCGACTGGTTTTGGTCCCAAAAGGCTGCGATGCAGCGTTCCTCCTTTATTCCCAATCGAACATGGTTGAACAAGCGGTCATGTGCTCCTGCGTACACCAGCCACCTGGTCACCGTGCCTGCAGGGTACAACTTTACAGCCTGTTTGACCTTTTTTGGATGCAGTCCTGTCACTCGAGTTGAACTCGAGTTGAACCTTAGTGTGACTTGGGCGGGCAGGAGCACGTGACCGCTTGTTCAACCATGGTCATTGGGAATAAAGGAGGAACGCTGCATCGCAGCATTCTTGGACCAAAAGCAGTCGACTCAGCGTCCAAAAGACTACAACATATTGGCCAATCGCGATCATCCGTGCTTTTATAAGAACGAAATGGCGCTTTTAGTGACATTTTGCATACAAATTCCCATCTAATAGGGCGCAGTCACCCAGTTTCGGTGGAATTGCGCAAGTTCGATTGGGAATAAAGGAGGAAGGGAGCGTCTCGGCTTCCTCGGACCAAGACCATTCGACAAACCACCCCAAAGACTACAACTGGTGAAAGGTTTAGACTAAACTTCCCGTTTAAACGTTGCTTAGAACCATTAGTCCTTTACCCTTCATTATTCTACACCATGCCATACTGAGGACTGTACTCTACACTGATTTGATCTTCCTTTGTGGCATTTTCTTGTGCCCTACTTCAAAAATAAAACTTCAAGAACACACAAAAATCTAACCCAGATAGTACGTTTGTTCTTGTAGACCTTCACATTCTTCTTCAACTTTTTGGTTGTTTTCATGGCTAGCTATATTCTACGTTATCCTGTTTTTTGCCTAATGCAGTGTGATTTTTGTACGAATGAATCACAAAGGGATCTTCACGACTGGTTATGCATGGTGTGGGTATTCTTCTTTCCGTGCAACCCTTGTTACCTGTAGGTCGCCGAGGTATTGAAGTTTATCGAGATCTCTGTCAACGCTAGGCAGGTGAACATACTGTCTGTGGAGACACGACCGGGTGCTGCACGTTATCAAATTCCCGTGGACGGCAGCTTGCAGCAGCTGATTGTGTCGGTAAGAGCAGCGCATTCTACACAGTTGTGAATTTCTATGTCTACATGCTGTTGATAATCGACAGGCTGCTGTGAACTGTCTACACCTGTTTTATCATGCACAGAATATTGTGAACTGTACTAGTGATGTGGGACATACAAGACTTTCATTCTGTACTTGTTTTCTTGGCCACGTGTTCAAGAATGGATCAGTACCTAATTGGGCTGAGGTGACGGCCTTAAAAACCTAACTTTCATGTCTCTGATATGAGTTCTCTTCAAGCAGGGGAGTTATTGGCAATACTCACAGGTTGTGTGTCCCACGGGCAATACTTGAATGCTCTGTATTTGCCAGTGACTGAGGGGCTAACTAACGTCCTCTTGCGTTTCATAGGTCAGTACAAACACAACAACTGGAGTCAACGTTCGTCTGCCAGATGTTCGCGTCACGAGTCCCAATGGCCAGGAGTTCTTCCCGACCGTCGATCTCGGCTCTGTGGTCGTGATAAATATTACCAAGCCTGCTGTGGGCTGGTGGAATCTGTTTGTGGACTCACCACTGCCGTACAGCGTGCGCGTCAAGGGCGTGAGCCTTCTCGACTTCAAGATACACTTCACGGTCGCGAGTGGAACACAGCGTGTCTTCATCACCAGACCTGTTGAAGGTACAGTCGACTCCTGATATAACAAACACCGTTGTGTAGGAGAATTAGTTCTTTATAGCTGAACGGTTCGTTATAACAGAAATGCACTCACCCTGTACAAGCAGCAAGACGATGCCTGGCAAGTGGCCCATGACAGTATGAGTACACTTGGTTTACACGGGGGCCCTACCATATTTGGTTCGTTATAGAAGAAAAATGTTCACTGTAGAGGGTCAATTTTGTATGGGTTCAAACAGGGACACGGACAAGGGGTCGCTATATGTCGAAATTCGCTATATGCGAGTTCGTTATAAGTGGAGTTGACTGCATGTGACTGACTCATTGAACTGTGTGAACACTGCCACTTTGCAGTACTAGGCACCAGGATTATGTATGGCCGGGTTGTAGTGATACTGAGATGCTCTGTTGGTCATTGATCCAGCTAGTGTCTGTATGCATTGTTTCAATCATACTCGGAGCCCGCTGAAATAGGGGGTGGTTTGCGGCTTGGCTTGATGTACAGTCGTCCCTCTCTAATCCGGCACTTGTTTATCCAGCACCCTTGCAAACCAGCACACTTTCTGGCAAAACGGATATTTTCAGTTCATTTTCTAAGCTTTAATCTGGCACTTGAATTCCGCCTCCAGCAGCGATTTTCTGCACCAAATCACTCAAACTGTACATAATTCGATTTTCTAATCCAGCAGTTGTACATCACATACCGTCAGGGAGCACTGTAACATACACTTGGGAATATCCTATGCCAGTGCATAGGATATTCCCAAGTGTATGTAAAAAGACATGCATTCCACAAGGTACTTGGATTGATAAAGAAAATCCCTACGTTTTGACGTACGACACAAACATGTATGTTAACAGGTGGGCCGGGTTGGAGGACAGGATTTGATAATCCAGCACCCTTGTTTATCCAGCAGAAAATGCCGTTGCAAAAGGTGTCGGATTAGAGAGGGACGACTGTACCTGTGTTGCATGCGTCATGACTATGTGTTTGTTTGGCACTGTGTTCCACTTGTCTGCAGGCCAGTCATCGTTCATTGTGCTTCAGCCCAGTGATGCTGCAGGCCATCTTCTAGTCACCGGCATGCAACTCATAAACCTTGCTGGTACCGTCATCCATGACATTCCTCTCAACTGGACAACGTCAAATCCCTACCCGAGGCTGGCTCATCCAGGATTCGAGGCACCTCAGCAGCTCTTCTACGTGCGTGTGCAGGGTATCGATTCTCAAAACATGACGTTCTATCGCCTCACGCCAACACCTGTCCAGCCAGGGTTACCATGTAAGCCTGGCCCTCTCTCTTCACTGTTAATACACAAGATAAAGAAATTAAAGAATCCACAGTAGGTATGGACATGATGAGAATGAGAATTTGTTTCACGTGCCGAATCCTTTCTGCTAGTGTCTGGCATGATAGTGCTGTAGAATAATATCAGACCACGTGTTTTTACTCGACCGCTTACACCAAACAAGTACATGTAGAACGTCTGAGATGATTCCAGGACACAGTGAGGAGTGGCAAGCCTCCACTGCAGAACACGCTTTGTACTTTGGTGCAGCCAATGCAGGGATCAACATAACATTTAGGATCCATTCAACAACTGCTTTTCTTCTAATGAGTTCCCGTCATCTTCATGGAACGGAACAAGACTTTTCAGGAGCAACACTACTTGCTATCGTGGAGGGTGGCTAGTGAACTGTTCCTGCTGTCATCTGCAAGTGCTGTGTGGTCTCGTTGGGTCAAATGACCCGACCTATTACCACTCTAACTTTAGGCCCCTAACACAATGTTAGCTTGGCACTTGGTAGAAAGCCCTGCCATAATTTTATTCATCTGCTATTGTTTCTACTATCCTATTTGTGTCCTGGCTAGCGCCTCCAACCGTGATTGATTGGCTTACGGATATCAGTGGTGAACTAGGTGGTTCCGTGCAGCTCAGATGCGATTATCGTAGCTTGGTGCAGGCATCCGTTGTGTGGTACCGTGATGGCGTTCCAATCGACACAATCAGTCGGACAGATCCAAGTTTCCTGGTGAGAGTTGATTATTCTGTCGGACACTGCTTCTTCACAGTGCACTGTAGGTTTCGATATTAACCTGCCATGCAGACAAACTGGAGTTTTTGTATGACTTGTAGTAGCAGAGTATGGTGTAGACAACGAAAATATTTTGTCAAAGATTGTATGCTGACATTGTCGTTATATTGTAGGTGTTGGCAGATGGCAAGCTTCTCATCACCAGACTTTCTTTGAATGATGCGAATTGCTATCGCTGTCAAGTAGTTAGCATAGCTGGAAACGATACAGGCCGGCCAGTGTGTCTGGAGGTGCTGCGTAAGTTCATCATCAATTAGTCATTACCATATCTCTCTATCTCTCTCTCTCTCCCCGTCTCTCTCTCTCTCTCTCTCTCTCTCTCTCTCTCTCTCTCTCTCGCTCTCTCTCTCTCGCTCTCTCTCTCTCGCTCTCTCTCTCTCGCTCCTCCTCTCTCGCTCTCTCTCTCGCTTCTTCTCTCTCTCTCTCTTCTCTCTCTCTTCTTTCTCTCTCTCTCTCGCTCTCTCTCT